GGGGAACGGAATTCGGTGCTCGGCTTGGGATGTGCATTTTGCATTTTCGCTAGCTCGTTTTCCAAACTCATTAACAGGTCTCGTTTTGGTGAGGCTAGACTCCTGCGAAGCCGCGGGATGATGCGAGTTATCTACTTCGATTACAAGGATTCACAGGTCTTCACAGGTAGCTTGCAGAGGCTTCACTTAATACCCTTTAGTGCCCCTCCCAATCCGAACTGCGCCCAGACTCTCGCAAACATTCGGTGATCAGGCATGCGAGAGCTGGGAGGGAGCGTTTCCGACCGAATGAAAGTATTCGAGCTGGGGAGCTGGGGAATGAGGAAAAAAGACGCCTGAAAGTGCAGAGATTTGAAGAAGTACTGCCCACGTTCACAAGGGGAAGAGGAATCCGTCAGAATTCACCGGTTACTTTGATGGTTATTCATGAACCAAGGTTCTATCGGTTCCCCCTTGTCTGACGTGCCCTGTGTGCGTTAAGAATTTTCGAGTAGGCTCCGCCCACATCGGCGCTCGCTCCGCCCACAACGGGTGTGTTTTACACCATCAAACGACAACCCGTCGCTTACCTTGATTCACTTTTCCCCATCCCCGAAATGGATGAACTTTTGTCTGCGTCACCACAAGCGTTTGACTCTTCCCCCCCCCCCTGGACGGGGGAACAAATAGACGTACAAAGTTTATGAGTAGGGATGATAAAATAAATCGTACAAGCAACTTACCATTGAAGCTTTCTTGGAGTTCTTGTGCGGAAGGACGTCCTCTTGGCTCATACTTGTTGCCAGAAATTCCCCTATTTTGTGGTGAGCTTACATTGTGCGCTTGAGTGGAATAACGACCCGTCATTCCACCACCTCTCCCTTAATCAGAAATGCATGAGAACAGCGAGTTCGAACACTCTGAGCATATATAATGAGCACATAATGGGGACGAAATTCAGGCGTTGGAATGTCTAGTCCAGAAAGTGCAAGCAATCAATACTGAGCGCCCTAGAAAAGGAAAACCACGGCAATGAACTGGTTAAACTGTAATCAACAAGTAAATGGGGAGCGCAATTCATTATAGTGGCGTCTCGAATCGATTTACTTACTTTCAAGCCCTCCTTTCATCACATCTGCACGACGATTCCCCATCGTTGGACCACCTGCACCATTGCGTTGATTACGAATGTTGTAATTCCCCCTGAAAGCAACGACGAATATACAAGTCATCAATGCCACACATCACACATATGTCTTTTATTTACCCCTCAACAGCCACTAAATGATAAATTAGAGATCTACGAGGTTATTCAGAGGACTGAAGATGTCTATAGCGGTGTTTTGGCGCTGGATAAAATGACTGCTAGACGCTGATGCAGCGGTCCAGTTTTCGGAGAGATAGGCGCCAAAGCGCTGAAGTAGCACAGATACGCGGTCCATCCTGTTAGCAGCCAGATGACGCGTCACGTCACATAACACGTTAATGACGTGTCTCGAGATGTTGCCAATGTACAGTACATTTTTTCCTGCTCATAAACGTGTTGCGTGACGTCATCTCGTGAGTTTTCGTTAACGTTTTAGATGACGTGTCATCTCTGAGCCTGCGTTTATAGTTTGCGACTTGACTATACAATCGCGCG